TGCTTGGGGATGCTTGCCTGGGAAACCCAATCATAATGGTTCTGCTGTAGCTAAGAATATGTATATTTTTATAAAGGCGACTTGAGGAAAGAGAGGTTTCTTTTAGGAAAGCCTTCTATTGGCTCCAAAGCAGCCTATTGTAAAAGCAGAACTTAAGGAAGACTCAGGTGGCCAGAAAGAGGGCAATTGGCTTAGCAAGTTGGCATTCCTTGCTATATAGATCAGCAGGTAGGTCCTTCAAGTACAATCCATCCTGGCTAGGTATACCTGGCTTAAGGCAGAGGACAGAATGATTCTGTCTGCCTTGAAACCTATATCCTGAATACAGAAAAAGTATTCCTGAAGATTCAGCTGGAGAAAAGAGGGAGGACAGAGCATCAGCTCTGGCTGGCATGAGAATCAGGAAAATCCACTTCCACTTTCAGGCAGCAAATTTGGGTTTTGCAATAAGGGAAGTTGGAGGCAGACTGACGGTAGTCAAAAATGCAAAGGAAGGCTGTCTGTAATTTTCCGCTATGTAAATGGTTCCCACAGAGTATGTGTGTTTGCAGGGAGGGATGGAAGTTTGGAGGCAATTTAGAACAATTTTATATGCTAGAATTGAAAGTGATCCCAACACCTGGAAGCTACCATAGTGTGGAGGAACCTGAGTTTTGTTCTGGCAATGGAGCTATAGAAAGGTTAAAAAAAAAAAAAAAAAAAAGCCGTCATATTCAAAACCATATGCAGGAATCCTGCAGCTATTTCTGTGGCGATAAAACTTTCATAGTTGGTCCTCATCCTCTTCCTCCTTCTTTTTATTTTGTCTTTCTATTTTAATACCCTTTAGAATGCAACACATTGCAGTTACAGCATAAGCAGATGTTTTTGCAATGCGTTCTAGTGAGGATCAGTGTTTTCCCAACTACTGATGAAGCCACGTTCAAAATTACAGCACAAGATTGATAATTCTGAAGAGTTAAAGCTTCAAAGAGACCTGGCTGAGAATGATAAGCCAGAGGCGATATAATATCGTATGAGAAGGAATTAATGAATTCATATAAAGTGACCTCATCCCTCTTACTGTTGTGTGTTTTTCTATGTGCCAGGCATTGTGCCAATTGCTGTCTAAGTCCTAGTTCACACATATCCATCGCAGCACAACTATGAGGCAGGTATTTTATCCCGGTGTTACAGATGGGAAAACTGAGGCTTAAAATGATTTGCTTAAAGTAAGAGTATTCGATACTTCCAGAAAATAAAAATAAATAAACTTACACCATTTAAAGTAGGCCACTCAGTTGAGACAGAAATCCATCAGACAACGCATAAATTGTACTCTATACATGTAACTATGTTACGGACAATGAGCTAACAGGAGGCATGTTTATTCCAAAGTAATGGTTAGTATTTACATTATTCAAATTATTTATCAAAAGTATGCATTTAAAGTAAGCTTCTTATCAATAATATTTCAGTCAATGTGGAGGTACTACGAAGGAACCACGAACTGGTATCATCAGGGACTACGGTTCTCCTGCTGGGTTAAACATAACCAAGCTATAACTAAATCCAGGTCCACTGTCTATTTCTCTTCTTGCCATAGACTCTCCGTAGAGAGCAGAGATTTATATTTTCTCTCATTTCTCTACACACATGGTTGAAAAATTTCAGTATAAACCATGAGGGGTACTCTGGCAATTTGAATCACATTTTTTACCTACAGTGTTCAGGCTGAGGATGAGTAGTTCTCTGCAGACCTCAAATTTCCTGCAAACAAGATATTTTAGAATCTCTAAAAGGTCCTTTTTTTCTTCCCTGTCGTGCTATATTTAATTGTTAGCTATTTTCCATTGCCATGATTAAAATTGAGGCGAGTACTGAAATGTGGTCAACAAAATTCTCTGCTTATAAATTCAGCCAACTGGAAGAAACCAATATCTTGACCATATTCAAGGTGCTTTGATTTTTTTGGTGTGAACGTGTGGTATAAATGGTTCACTGTATTTTTGACCTTTACTTCTACCTTTATTTATACCGAAGGTTGCTTTCCTATTCTGGCAGAAATATGATTCTTATATATTTGGTAGAATTACTTGTGAAATAATTCATCTGTGTAGGAGACAAGAGAGAGCTCATTTCTATCTCATTTTGTCTTTTATTGTGAATTAATTGATATAAATTGCATTGGGACCAATCCATATAAGAGAAAAGAAAAATTACAATAATTTTGAACTGAAATACATGGTGGCAAGTTCCTTAGAAAATGCCAAATACTGAAATCATCTCCCTTAAAGATCAAATTAAATAGGAGACAAACTTATTCATCAACTATAGATTTGATTATATTAGCTCTCTCAACATTTTAACATTTTTCTGGTAGGCTGGAACTTGTAACTCATACTGCTGTCAGTGGAGAAGCATCAGATACTGACCATTTTAAAATTTATCTTAAGAAGGAAAAAAAAAACTATAAACATGGCTATACCATCTGATTCTCTCTCTCCATGTTTCCAACATAGAATATGCCATCATTTTAAAGTAAATCATATTTAGTATTTTGATTTTTTTGGTACTTTTTTGTGTTCTCTCATCATTTACAATTAATTTGCAGTAAGCATGCAAGATATCTATCTGTCTATCTATCTATGATGAATCTATTGATCTATCTATGTGTCTATCTATCTATCTCCAATGTTATTTACAGCTTCTTTTCATTACTTTGTTTCTACATATTAAGACAAGACCATTTTTTTCTGTTTTTACAGTACCTATTCAAGTGCCAAATAAGTAGTGGTCTATGAAGCAAAACTCATGAATTTCTGATCTAGGAAGAGGAACACAGAGTATAAACTTTATATATCTATTTCAAACCTGTGGTTTCATGATTTATTTTGTGAAGGATATGTTGAATATTTGGATCCTAAATCCAAAATCACAGTGAGCAGAAGTCCTACTTTCCATAAGGCAGTCCTGGTTTATGGTGTTTTTCAGACATAAATATAAGCAGTGACCCCTCTCACTTTAAAATGTGTCCCAGTAGAGACAATAAATTACGTGGTCGCTCTTTGTAAAACAAATAAACACAGTCTAAAATAAACAATCATGATGTATGGAGTACTCTTTCTGTTTCAAGTCATTTTTCAATAATAACTGACATCTTTAAAAAAATTTACAAAACAAAATAATATGAAAAACCTGTAAGATAGATCATAATTTTAACTTCTATTTTCCAGTATCAAAATAAAACAGATAATGACATGATATTAAATATCCTATTACAGGGTTTATTATAATGTGTGATGAAGCAGAATGAGGTATTCTAAGTATTTAAACTTTTACTTTCTACTAATTTCCAAAATTTAAGAAAACACATACAATTCATCCATTGTAGAATTAAATCTCTTCTTTAAAAATATTAGGGCATAATAAATATGTGTCAAAATTAGACTTTCCCTGGTACCCAATAATATCTTCCCATTCACCCAATACCTTATGTGATGCTTTCTAGGACCACACTTACAACAAGCATGTCTTGAAGTTACAAAATTTACAGGAAACACTAAGGATCTCAGAATATTTGGAATGGGAAGTAACTTCTTCACGGAGAACTTTAAATGCTGTGCATTTTATATGCAAAAATAATGCCTGATACTTACTAGTTCATAATCAGAATAAACATGGACCACACTTACGCACAGACTTCCAGTTCAGTTTGGGGTTTCTAAGGAGGCTTTGTGTTAGAAATATTCGTATGATTTCCATTAAAAAATATTGGTGATGCTAATAAAGAAACAAAGGCAATGTACTTGGATTACAGTTTCTAATCAAGGGTAGCTAACACATGAATACTCCATTATTTAGGAGATAGAAAGGGTTTTGTCTCCTTAGTTTTTATAACGGTGGAAGTCCGTTAAATTAGTAATATCTATATAATGACCGTCATTTCCTTTTTGTGATTCATCCACATTTATCAAAGCATCCCCAAAGAACGATGTAGCATTTTGTTAAAAGGCAAGGCCATAATATATTTAGCCATACAATGTTATTTTATTTCATAAAGGAAATTTTATCAAGATGCACTGTCTTTTTAAATAGAATATTGCAAACAATACAAACAGATATCTTGAATCAAATTTTACTCTTCTGAGTAGAGCTTGTATACAGACCACTGAGAGAACTAAACAGATCCCTGTAGTAAAGTCAGAAAAAAGCCTGAGACATTGCTTATATTTTGCTAATCATTCTAAAACCACTACAACTAAGACTTAAATACATTTGAACAAAAATCAAGTTTTATAATTTTTTTAAATATATAGCAACTTAGGAAACAAAAATTTCCAAATGAGAGAGACTTTAAACAATAATATATGGCTTTCATATATAATAAATAACATAGTTAAAGAAAACAGTAATCCAAGGTTGGTCCTCAGAAAATCTAATGAAATGGATTAAATGTGCTCAGTGAGTGAAAGACTTAACAATAAATCAGTTCATATCAGCTCCAAAATAATACTGATAAGAAATGTCCTTCAAAAAGGATTTTCTGAACTAATTGTTATTGTTAAAGTTGGTACAGGCTTAAAACAAATACCTTTAATGTGTCCCCACAAACCAGGCAAAATTAGAATAGTTTTCCCTAAAGACGTGGTAAATAGTCAATTAAAACTTAACAATGCCAAACTGTAAGCCAATTCCCCCTCTTAGGGATATCTCAGAATCTCAAAATACCTGGCAGCTTTCACAGGGGTTAAATTTTACTCTTCATTTTTTAAAGTAAGGTGATTGAGGTATTTCCTGGGAAAAAAATTAACTTTTTACATTAACACATTTCTTATCTCTTGTTTAAGTATTGAAAATTAGAAACTAAGGTAATTACCATGCCATTACGCTGATAAGCTGAATTTCAAGTGCTCATGGGTGAAGAAAAATTATTTTAATGATATTTTCAGTTATGTTATGAAATTGCATCCTATTTTCCAATTTATATTGTACTCTGTGTAGAAAGCTAATATATTTACCTTCATTTTTCTTGATGGTGAAATTCGGATTGTTGACCATTTCTGGAAGGAGACTGTATAAGAAATAATGTCCGTTTTTGGGATCATCTTTGTCCATGGCGCTAACTGTTTGAATGACCTGAAACATAAAACTTGACGTCAGCATTTCTGATGATTCCAGAGGCTCCTACCATCGGTAAAAGCTTAGTGACATTCTTTTTGTGGTCTGATACTTTGACTCAAAGTCTCTTTTTCAGCTTTCTGAATTGTCGTGGATGGTTTGTGCCAAGAATAAGGAGAAAAATCCATTACTTTAAAACCTCAGCTTTGATAAGTTGATGAAAATTAAGAGCATTACCTTTGTGTCCATTTGGTGTCTGTGGCTTGAAATAGCAAAGTTAAGTGTATTTGAAATATCCACTGGGCAATTACAGGTTTCTTTCCAATTTGAGTATTTACGGGCATCTAGAATGAGATTTGGAATTGTTACAGTGATTGTAGTGTGGTTCTTGGGAGGATCTTTGAGGTAAATGGCTTAAATCTTGAATCCTCACAACTCTTTTACTCATCAGGTTGTAAGTGTTTGCCAAATAGTGTTCCTCAGCACAAACATCACTGCAACAAACCTCTCTGATGAGTTGCTTCTGTTCCCTCGCAATAAGGAATAATGTTTTTTAAAGCTAGTGGATAACACGTGCAAACAATGCTTTGGAGTGTACCCTGAGATGAATAAATTATAGGGATTAGAATTACCACGGTGCAGAGAAATGTTTGGATAGATAGAGGTACTTGGAATTGGTGCCTATTGAATGTGCTTGTTTCATCTGCAAAGCTACATTAACTTAATGCTAAAGTTGTTTCTTGGGATGTCAGATAATTATTTTAATAACTTGTATTTATGATGCTGTGATATTGCTAGTTCAATGTGACAAGTTGGACAAGAGCTAATGTAGGAAAAATTTGGATGTTTACTCCTATTGTGATAATAGATTTACCATAAAAAGTAGTTGACAGTGAAATGTTCTCAGGTTTGTCATATTTCGAGGATATAATAATGATGCCAATGCTATTGTGTCTGCGGGAACAATTATGTCCCACTGAACTTCGAAATTTTGTTAAAGAGAAAAGAAATCAATTACTTCATTTTGAGAAGGGGTCGTCTTTGCTTTCTAACTTACCACTCAAGTGTAAGAACCACAATTTCAGAACTTTTAGCAGCTATGGGTCTTTGCATTGTATCAAGCACATGTTATATGATAGGCAATTCATTCAATTTACTTGAGGCAAAAATAAAATACTTTTTTCAATTTCTAGGTCTCCAGTTTTAAAATGGAACATAATCTTACTTTGTAAGTGTTTGATTTTTGTTAAGGACTTTGTTGTCTAGTTATAATGTCTTATAAATAATTATGATTATATTTAGCTTGAGTGACAAAATAACATAAAATAATTTCAAATATAACTCATGGTTAAGACAGTGAGATAGTCATAAAAAGAAAGGACTCTGGAGTTAAGCTTCCCAGGTAAGATAAAAGTCACAGCTCTATTTGTGGCTCACTGTGTGACACTGAAGGAATTACTGAAGTCTCTGAAACTTTATTTTCTTGTATGCCAGAAATACAAATGCAAAGACCATCTTTTCTCAGAGATTCGTTTTGATTATGAATTTAAATTTATATAAATCTTTTGATGGTGTCTGGTTTCTAGTAAATGTTCAGTAAAATATTAGTCATCATCATCATTATTATTATTGTATTAACTAGGGCCATTGCTATGTATTGATCACCTGGCACTTTGATAAATCTTTATAAATGTAATGACTCTGTTACTCAATGATCCAGTATGATCAGATTAAAGAAGAATACAATTATATTTACTGTACCTAAACACATAGCATATTTGCCTTGACATTTAAGTGTAGAGAGAAGCCCTAGGGTACTTCTTTCATAAAAAATCAACATGAATTAAAGTACAAGGGGACTAGATTTGAAACATGGATAACTCCTTCGGACAGCCTGCAAGTAAAAATATTTAACAGAAAAGTATGAGTTTGACCACTTCACCTCAGAACAGCTGTGCTGGATTTTCATGTTAAAAAGTCAAGGGAATGACCATCTTTGACAAGAGCCTTCTTTCAGGCAATTATAAGGAAGAGAGGGAAAAACATTGCTTGTCAGCAAATGTAGCAGCTCCTTCTCCATTTACCCAGACTTCTCTCTATAGGACTTCTAGCCCCAGGTGCAACCATTGAAGATGTAACTCCTGAAGTGTGCGAGTGCATATGAAGAAGAAGGGCAAATGAAGAGAAGATGTCTTGGTTTTCTCAAGTAGAGCTCAGTCATAATTAAATGCTTTCCTACAGTATACTTAGTGGATAAAGTTCCCATAATTAATACCATTCATACTATTTTCAAGTAATCTATGTGAAAATGGCTCATACCTGCTGTTGCATCTACAGGAGAGTCATTGGATTAGCTAAGCCACCATGACCAAAACAAAAGGTGCAATAATATAGCTTACCTGTAGCAAAGAAGCGTAACTACCTGCCACACCACAGCTCAGGAGTTTGGTCTAAACATCACATCAGAATTTAATATATTTTTCCACCACTTATTTTAGCCAGGAACTCCTTAGATAAGCAATTTATTGAGCCACTAGAACTACTGATCAAAAAAGTCTCAGATTATAACTCAGCAATCGGTATTTCAAACAGCCTTCTGGGTAATTCTGGTGTATACACAAGTATGAGATGGAAAAGATTCATGTTCACAGTTCTCTCCTCATAATTCATCAAGAGACTTTATATTGTCAAGCTCATGTCAAGTTCAGTGCATTACATGTTAGGGAGAAGGTGGCTGAAATGAATTATTACATTTTCTTCCAAATATCCCATAAACTGGTTATGATTAAGATTTTTGGTTAAACCACATTTGACCCTTCAATACAGATAGCCCCTGCTTTGGCATTTTATCTAAAAGTAGATGCCAAGTAGGTCACTTAAAGGACTTTACACTATTAAAATGTATTAAGATATCCGTACTAATGAGGCTAAAGTTTTCATTGATGAAATGACTTTTGAATGCACTTAGCTTTAAACAGTAAAAGAAAAAGAATAGATTTGTTCAAAGAAGTGTACCTCCACAGAGGCAGGTTGGAGACCACGTAGGGTCCACTGTGAGCTACCATGACCTCAGCTGATTTTTCAAGTAATTTTATTTCATGGGAATAATATAAAAATTTCTGGAGCAATCATAAATACTTAGAAATATGCATCTAACGTTAAGCTTAAATATTTTCCCTTCTACCAGTGAAGTTAGTATGCAACTGAAAAATCTAATGTTTCATAATTTATTGTTGAAATATTTTCAATGTTAAGGAAAGCCAAAAGCAAAATATATGTCTTTATTAGAGAAAATAAAGTGCACCTGGGATGTTGGAATAAGGAAATGAATTCCAGAACTATGCTTGGATTTTGATAGGAGCAGACTCTGTTCTATTTCTTGAGACTACAAAGTTGAAATTAAATAAACATTCTAAGACATGAAACTAGAAAACCATTGTGTGCTATAGTTTAATTCTGATCCTTAAAAATCTTCCATTGTTTATCAAAAATTCTAAATCTAAATTAGATTGTTTTTAACGGAGTATATTAAACTTTATTTTGGACTATTTTACATTAACTCAAAAACATTTTATAGTTGCAGAATATCACCGCCATTTTTATCTTTTGAAAGGTCAGTCAGAAATACATATTTCATGATCTGATCTGTTAACAAGCATAACTGTATCATAGGATCTATTAGAACCTCTTCCGTGAGTTCCTGTAGATACTATTTATCAATATGATCTTATGTGTGAGGAGTAATCATATATAAGATTTTACCCCTCACTGCTATTGGAATAACAGGTGGCACATGGCAACTATTTAATAACTATTGGGCAAATGAAGTAATTGATGAATAATAAATAAGCGATGGCAGGTACATTTTTGCGGCATCATTTATCCTCACAATACCTTGAGAAGGAAGGACTAAGAAACGTATCAGCACTGCGATACATCCAATATATTATATATATTCAAATTATATAGAGTATATATTACATATGTATATATACACATATACGTGTGTATGTACATGTCTGTGTATCTGCGTGTGTGTGTATAAAATGTCTGATCCCAGATAAGCCTAGTTACAAATTCTCTGCATCCATTGTCCCCAATATGTCAGGCTGCTTAAAAACTTGTAGATATTTATAATTTCTATATATGTATTTCTATTAAATTGGGGCTTAGACCTTCAATACTTTGGAGTATGTGTAAGCGTGTCCCATCCATCCTTGCTTGCTTTGCTTTAGCAGCCTGAAGGTTCTTGATTGATTCTGACCAGTCAAATGCACACCCAAGTGGACATTTAAAAGAAATAGTTCCTTCTATGTATGGACAAGGTGAGGAAAACCTATTCTGTTGTAACTTTTGGAATGTTTTACAAGATTTCTCGAATATACGTCTATCTCTAGAAAGACCCAGCAATAATAAGCAGTGTGGCATCTTCAATTGAAGCACACTGTCATTTTCTCAGGTAAAACTTAGTTTCCCTTTTCTCAAAATCCTTCCATAATGATGTGAATTGTAAGGTGATAGGGGGTGAAGGAAAGGAAGGGAAGTTACGGTTAAGGAAGAAGGAACAGTATAATGTTTGGCTTTCTATTAATGCTAGTATTATTGTCACTTTATTTCTAGTGATCATATTAACTTTCCTGAAATATTAACATCTATCTCTTAGAGTAGTTTTCAACTTGGGAAAGAAAGGAATGATCCATGAAAGAGCTTTATATGGCTGTCATTCCTCAACCTGAAATAGTATGAAATCATTTATGTATGCACATTTAGGAGGGGAGAGGTTATAGCCTTTATCAAATTATCAATGATGTCCATAACTGAATAAAGCAAAACAAAATACATTAAGAGCCTTAAAGAACGATGCTTAAAAATAGAAATTAGGCATGCAAGACAAATCAAGTTATAACAATGATGATTAATTGAAAGGGGGGAATATAGGTAATTAAGAAATTTTATAAAAATTGACACAATAACCCAATTATTTCAAAACTGTATAATGTAGTACAGATATTCACAGT